AGACTAAAACTCAACCAGTTAAAATATATATACAAAAAAAACTAACAGTCTAATTTCATCTCAAATTACATGCATAATGACCGTTTCCTCATTAATTTGATCTCATAAAAAACGTTAATTGCATAGTGACCGACACGTCTTCAATCATATCAATGATCGTTAATCATCCATAGGTCATGATCAACTTCAGTACACTAAGATATTTTTTACCATCACATCACACTGCACCATATCATATCATGTCATCATATCTTATCATTACATCACTACATACACATATCACATCACATTACACTATATCATGTCATGCTTCACATCACACTACGTCATATAATCAAATCACTACATTTTATCATATGACATCACACTGCACCATATCATGTCTCATGCCATACTTCACATCACTACATGAATCACATCATCACATCACTACATCGAGTTACATTGCATCACATCATTTCCTAAAACATATCACCACATCACTAAATTATATATATATCACATCACACTATATCACATCACATCACGTAATCATAGTATATCATAAATCACATCACATCATATATCTTATCGTCGTGTCACAATACACATCACTTCATATATCACACTTCACATCACAACAAACGTCGTTAAAACATCACGTAATACAGAATGATGAGAGAGGCGCAAATCACATCACGAGATCATATAAAATTATCACATCACATCATACACCACACCACATCGTATCATGTACACCGCATCCCATTGTATCACCACACCACACCACATAACACATCACAGACTCCCCATCACTTTCCCACTCACATCACACACTCCCCAATCACTCCCCAACACATCATAAACTCCATCAAATCACACACTCCCCAATCACATCACAAACTCCCCAATCACTCCCCAATCACATCGAGCCCCATCGCCTTCCCTTCGTTCAAAAGCTCACCTTATGCAGATTGGTAGGAGACGCGCCCACGTACGGCGGCGCGCGCGGAGACTGCTCGCCCACCTCGGCCACGCAGGCGCCCCACACGCTCGCTAGGCTGCCCTCACGCCTGCTGGGTGGGTGGGTGGGTGGGGTGGGGGAGGGGGGGGGGTGAGAAGGGCGGGGAGTGGGGAGAGAAAAAAAGAGGGTTTAGTTTTGGTTTTTGTTTTGGGTAGGTGAGGGAGGGGGGGGTGGGAGGGGGGGAGGGGGGGAGAGGGGTGGGAAGTGGGTAGGTTAAGGAGGAGGGGAGGGGGGAAGAGGGGGGGAAGCGGGTAGGTTAAGGAGGGGGGGAAGGGGATGGGGGTGGAGAAGTGAGGAGGAGGGTGGGTGGGTGGAAGAGGGAGGGGGTGGAGGGAGGTTGGTAAGAGGTGGGTGGATGGGTGGAGTGGGAGAAACAAAAGTGTCGGGGGGGGGGGGGGGAAAAAAGGATAGAAATAAAAAAAAGCAAGAAAGGGATAAGAAAGAGGGGAAAGAGAGGAAACAGAGAAGAGAGAGAAAACGGGAATAAAGAGAGAATAAAGAAAACGGACACCTACGCAAACTAACAACATATACATATATAATTCCAAAAAACATAGTACAAACACCAAAAAAAAAAAAAAAAAAAAAACACACAAACAAAACCAATCGAACTCACTTGGCGAGCGACAGCGTAGACTTCGTGGACTTGAGAGTGCCATGCGGGAGAGTGCCATGGGGAAGAGTGCCATGGGGGAGCGTGCCCTGCGTGGTGGCCGTCCTCGCCAGGGACCGGTGCAGCGTCATGGCCAGCAGGAGGTCTAGGAAGTGGAGGATCTTCTGTCTTCTAATGGGCGACGGCTGCTTCAGGGCATAATCCCTGAGATTCGGGACGGAAAGGGGAGAGAGAGAGAGGGAGAGAGAGGGGGGAGGGAAGAAGAGAGAGAGAGATGGAGAGAGAGAGGGGGGGGAAGAGAGAGAGAGGGGGGGAGAAGGGAGAGAGAGAGGGGGGGAGAAGGGGGAGAGAGAGAGAGAGAGAGAGAGAGAGAGAGAGAGAGAGAGAGAGAGAGAGAGAGAGAGAGAGAGAGAGAGAGAGAGAGAGAGAGAGAGAGATGGAGAGAACGAGGGGGAGAAAGAAGAGACAGAGAAAGGGAGAAAGAGAAAAAGAAAAAAAAAAAAGAAAATAGGTTAATAAAGGGTGGTATCGGTTATGAGACGCTGTGTGGGTGATGGTCATTAACATATTAAGCTATGGTGATGAAAGTTGATCTCAACAGCACTCTGGTCTTTATATCTCTTAAAAGGTTAGATGAATGAGCAGATGTCAATTATAAAATCAGTAATTATAACATGGTAATGATAATGCTAATGATGGTGATAGGCTTAGTATTAACATTATAAATCATAACAGTCATGAGAATGATAAAGATTATCATAATGATGATGATGATAACAATAATCAGAATATTCAGACACCCCTAAATACCTCTCACACCCCATACCCCCATACCCCACCCCCCCCTCCCCACTAACAAACACAAACAAACAATCAATGCCCTGTGACTTCCTCCCCCGCCCCCCCCCCCTGCCCAACCCCCCACCCCACCCCCCGCGAAGCCACAGAATGCCCGGCCGCTGATCATTAGCATCGAATTGCCTCGTTAGAACTCTGATCACGTGAGTACGTCCGCTTTCCTTAATCACTGTTCGACGGTGGCTTGTTCGAGCCTAGTGCATTTATGGCCTGGGGATTTTACGGTGTTTAAGAGTCAGGGCAAATATAGGGTATATGTTACAAAGGCCTATCTATAGTGTAAGCGTTTATAAAGTGTTGTAAAAAAAAATAAAAAATAAAAAATAAAAAATAAATAAATAAATACATAGGCCTATTTCTAGTAAAAAAAAATCCACGCAGAAACCTGGTGGAAAAAATATATATATATATCAACACAAAGACCTATCTACAAAATACAAATTTACAAAATGAAAAAAAAAATCAACACTAATAGCATACCCATTCATAAAATCTATTTGAAAAAAAAAAAAATATCCACCTTAAACCATCCTTATAAAACCACCCATTTAATACGTATCTGCATTCAAAAAAACAACATGCATACCGTCTATTTATCTACCGTAACTAAGCGCAAATATAGCTTGCGAAATAAGACACTCTGTTCAGGGATCAAGTGTTCCTGGCTACGCCCACTGCGGGTCTGGGGCGGGCGTGTGTGTCTCCTGTGTGTGTTGTGCAGAATCGCTAACACGCACAGGGAAAGCTATTGTTATTATTTTTGTGAATATATATGATTGTGTGTATGTGTGTTGTGTGTGTGTGTTGTATGTGTGTGTTGTGTGTGTGTGTTGTATGTGTGTGTGTGTGTGTGTGTGTGTGTGTGTGTGTGTGTGTGTGTGTGTGTGTGTGTGTGTGTGTGTGTGTGTGTGTGTGTGTGTGTATGTATGTATGTATGTATGTATGTATGTATGTATGTATGTGTGTGTGTATGTATGTGTGTGTGTATGTATGTATGTGTGTGTATGTATGTATGTATGCATGTATGTATGTATGTATGTATGTATGCATATTTATATACATACATACATACGTACGTACATGCATTCATGTATGTACGTCCTAAGTATACATATTAAAACAAGAATCGACCCGTGCTGTGTCTAAATTATTACCATGGCATATTATCATTAGCGCAAATGAAATAACTTTCCCCGAGGCACAATGGAGTATTTCATTTCGTAATGCATTCTAGGCAGGCATAATTATTGAAAAAAAAACAATTGTTCTTTTGTACAAACAAGAATGGATTTAATGTTTTAAAAATCGCTTGCAATAGTAAGTTGTTTCTGACAAAATTATGATAATTTTCCTTGGCCTAAATAATAAGGGAGGGGGGGGGGGTCTATATGGTAATAGGCTTATAATCTTAGTCAAAAGGAGGGAGGGAGGGAGGGAGGGAGGGAGGGAGGGAGGGAGGGAGGGAGGGAGGGAGGGAGGGAGGGAGGGAGGGAGAGAGAGAGACTAAGATACTTCTCTCTCCCTCTCTCTCTCTCTTTCCCGCCCTCCTCCCTCCCTCCCTCCCTCCCTCTCTCTCTCTCCCTCCCCCTCCCTTTCCCTCCCCTCCCTCACTCCTTTTCCCTCCCCCTCTCCTCACTCTCTCCCATCCCTCCCCCCTTCTCCCTCCCATCATCCCTCCCCTTCCCCCCACTCTCTTCCCTCCCCCAACCTGGCACCCTCACCCCGGGGCACCCTCGACGAATGACCCCCCCCCCCTTTTGACCCTATTCCCATGGCTCCTACGGGCACGAGGGACACACCAGGCCCTCGAAAACTTCCTCCAGGTGTCGAGTGGAGGACGAGCCGGGAAACAGGATCGCCAGAGGAAGGGTGACCACCGGGGAGGGGGGGAGGGGGAGGAGGAGGAGGAGGAGGAGGAGGAGGAGGGGGAGGAGGGGGAGGAGGGGGGAGGAGGAGGGGGAGGAGGAGGGGGAGGAGGAGGGGGAGGAGGGGGAGGAGGGGGAGGAGGAGGAGGAGGAGGAGGAGGGGGAGGAGGGGAGGAGGAGAGGAGGAGGAGGAGGAGGAGGAGGGGGAGGAGAAGGAGGAGGAGAAGAAGAAGAAGAAGAAGAAGAAGAAGAAGAAGAGAGAGAGAGAGAGGAAAAAAGGTAAAATAAAAATTGGTCTTTTTCTGAAAATGTGAAATGCGATATTGCCTTGGTGGAAGGCGGCGGCGGAAATGCCCTGCTGAATTTATTGATTTCATTTGTTTTTTGTTTTTGATTTTGTTTTTTTAATGTGTCTATGTAGCTATTTATGGAGTTTTTTTTTTTTTTGGGGGGGGGATATTTTGTTTCGTTGTATTAATTTGTTTATCTCTCTCTCTATTTTTTATATCAATTATGCTTCACTGTATTTTTTGTTAAGTATGCCTATATCTTTTATTTATCTTAGTTCACTGTATTCTTTTATTCATCTATATAATTGTTATATATTCACTTATTTGCTTATATATATATATATTTATTTATTTATTCATGGCGGAATGTATGTCCTTGGTATCATAAAGAAAAACGAGGGAGAGTGAAAACGTGAAAGTACCTACGAAGCAGACTTAACTACAAGATAGGAAATAAAAGTTTCTTCTTAAAGGAAATCGAAATCAACTACCAGGGAATCGGACAAGATACCTGGAATACCTGGGGCTCTGAGTGACCTTTGATCCGAAGTCTTAATCCCAGCGCCCTCTGTCACCGCCTGACCTCTGACCTCAGTCCTGTCATCAGCCGTGACACCCCCTCGCCCTCCGCTCTGGTCTTGACTCCAAGGATGGGGTCAAGGGACTGTTTCCGGCGTCCCGAATTAGGATTTTTGTCTTCGCCTCTCTAAAAAAAAGCATTCACGCACACACGCACACACACGCTAACAAACAAAACGTTAAAATACGAGACCAGGATTAGAACAAACAAACAAAACTTCCCTTCCTCTAAACTCCCCCCCACCTTCCCTCCTTCCCCAAACCCCCCTCCCTCCTTCCTTCCCTCAACCCCCTTCCCTCCTTTCTCCCAACCCCCCCTCCCTCCTTTCTCCCAATCCCCTTCCCTCCCTCCTTCTCCCAACCCCCCTCCCTCCCTCCTTCCCCCAACCCCCACTCCCTCTTTCCCCCAATCCCCACTCCCTCCCTCTTTCCTCAACTTTCCCTCCCTCCTTCCCCCCCAAGCCCCCTCCTTCCCTCCTTTCTCCCAACCCCCCTCCCTCCCTCCTTCCCTCCCTCCCTAAACTTCTGTTTACATGCATGCGTATGAGAAAAAAACAGCAACTCCCCGACAGTCAAGAATGGCCCTGGAAGTTGTCGGCTCCGGTGTCGCCTTTCGAGGAAGTTTGGCACCGGTTCGTCCACCCCCTTCCCCCCTCCCCCCCACCAGCCGCCAGCCACAGGAAATGCTGGTTGGAGCGCTGGTGATCAAGAGGGAAAAATGACGTCCCCCTTTTTTTCCCCCTCCCCCCCTCCCCTCCCTCCGTCGAAACGTGATGTAAGAGATATATATTAGCGTGCGTGTACATGTGTTTGGGTTGCTTTGCTTTGTCTTTGTCTTTGCTTTGTTTGATCTTTGAGAATGGGAGTCTGTTATATTTTTTTTTTATGTTCGTGTGTGGTTAGTTTATTATAAACACGTACATGTGTTTGGGCTTCTTTGCTTTGTCTGCGTCTGTGCTTGGCACGTAATAATTATTGTAATTGAGAATAGTGGTTTATGTTTGTGTCTATTATAAACACGTAGACTTGTGTATTATGTAAATTCCCTTGCCACAGCACTATAATCACGGATATAGTTATTTCTTTTAGTTATATTAAGATGAAATGGAACTAATAGACTTTTACTAACATATCTCATATCACAACAAGATATCTCAAAATACTTCAACAATAAACTAAACACCAGCCCCTTCAATATTATATTTATACATACATATATATATATATTTATCTATCTATCTACCTATCTATCTATCTCTACCTATCTATCTATCTCTATCTACCTATCTATCTATCTATCTATCTATCTGTCTGTCTGTCTATCTATCTATCTATCTATCTATCTATCTATCTATCGATCTATCTACCTATCTATCTATCTATCTATCTATCTATCTATATAAAGAATATCTCATAAACCTATTTCATAATACTACACTCTAAAATATCCTAAGCACAGATCCCATTACCTTTTCCGACTGACATAGGCTCAGGGTAGCGTTTCCAAACACGCACTTGCAAACAGGGTAAAAAAAAAAGGTAAAATGAAGTAAACAACTGCCTTCATTTTTTCTTTCTTTCTTTCTTTCCCTTCACGCATTCCTCCCCAAGCGCGAAGGCTCGTGCGTGGATTTTGTTTCCCCTTTTTTTGTCTTATTTATTCAATTATTCTTTTTTTTTGTTTATCTTTCTTTCAAAAGAGCTTAGACCGCTTGCGTAAACTCTTCGCCTCGAGCACGTGACAGTCCGGGGAATGTTTGTACCGTTTTTGCCTCCGTGGCGTGTAGTTTCTTTCTGTTTATTTATCTTTTAAGAGAGTCTAAAATCAGGAATTCAGAACAGCTTCTGGTATGGCCCCGGCCTTCAGCACGTGCGCACGTGCGTGAGGGAGGAAGCAAATACGTTCACTCTCAACCATGCCTCCTCCCTCCCTTCCCCCTCCCTTCCCCCTCCCTTTCCCCTTCCCCTTCCCCCTCCCTTTCCTCATAACCCCTTCCCCTTCCCCTACCCCCTTCCCCCTCCCCCCTCTTCCCGGCCCTCGAACTCACCTCGGCGTCTGTTCCAAGTTGTCCTCGAGGGAGAGGTCCCCGCCGGCCTCCACGAGCAGCCTGAGGACCCTCCTGGAGCCCCTGTAGGCGGCGCCGTGCACGGGCGTGGAGCCGTTGGTGCCGCAGCGGCGGTTGGGGTTGGCGCCGAGCTTCAGGAGCAGAGCCACCACCTCGTTGTCGCCGCCGAAGGAGGCGCAGAAGAGCGGCGTCTGGCCGTGGGAGTTGACGCTCTCGATGTGCACGCCTGCGGGAGAGAAGGGCAGAGGTCAGGACACGCAAGTCTCCGTAAGATAAGAGCTGGACAAGGAAGAAAATGAAAAAAGAATGCGCGAAGACGCCTTCCAGGAAAAGAACACACACTTCTCGACGCGCTTGAACAACAAAAAACTAAGCCCCGCTGCCCTCGCGAGGCCGAGCGAGCGCCGCGCGTAACTCGAGCGGAGGAGACCGGGGCTCAAGAATATCTCGCGGCGTCCCCGGCAGCGCCGAGCAACGCCTCTCGGGAAGCCGCGGTCGCACGTCACGCGAGCGGCGACACCCGAGCCTCCTGCAGCTGGCCCGACATGTGCTGCCGACGCTCGTGGCGCGGGAGGGCCTCGCTCGGGGGCGCGGCCGCGGGGCAAGTTGCTCGGCACATCACACAAATACGAAGTTAATAGTAAGATGAAGGTCCTTCCGTAAAATAGATAAATCAATAAATAAAAGCACTAGAAATGACACTCAAGCAAAACCCAGCGACACGGTGCCACAGCGGAGAGAAATCCTACACCGGCGGCCAGTGTTCCTTCCTTCCTTCCTGCGGCGCCGACCCGAGCCACGCACGCGTCTGCAGGCACTCCCTCAAGCAAGCACTGGCCTTCCCAATCATCCCGACTCGACGTCTTCCTCCTTCCCTCCCCCCCACTTTGCCTTCCCAGCCTCTCTCCCTCTCCCCCTTCCCTTCCCTTCCTCCCCTTCCCTCCCTCCCCCCCTCCCTCCCTCCCTCTTACCTTCCTCTTCCCCCTCCCTCCCTCCCTCCCTCCCCCATGAATAGCTCTCCCTCGCAGGACCTTGACTGGCATCCCTTCCGAAGCGACGGAGGGCCAAGGATACGAGGCGCCGGCGACCCCCTTCCTTTGTGCAGGAACGAGACGCTGATTGACTCGTTGGGGCCCGTTGGAAGGAGGGGGGAAGGGGGTGTAATATATGTGTGGATTTGATATCCCAGTGCGATGCCACCAAATTTAGTGACCTCTCACCTCTTCCTCGCGCTAGGCCTCTCACAGCGCACTGTACTCTACTGTTTATCCCCGGCGCCAACGTGTCCTGCGCCCCGAACGAGACGACGATGACAAACTGCCTCCAGAGCGAGCAATTCCGACTCTTATTGTCATTCTCGCCGATTTCGCTATAACTACATGTAAACTCTTATTTTGTATATACTCAAAATGTTCATCAGAAATTGCTCTATCTGTATAACTGCCTTTTTAATTATTACTATTGTCGATACTCTAGTTATCAATATGTTCACGTATTTTTAGCGCCATGCTCTCTTATCACAAAGCTATTTGGTGGTATAAACATATCTAATGTCTTCGCCCGACCATGTGGCCATAGGAACCTTATGAAAGCTGTACTGTTCATAGAATGCCTACATATACATTTTTTCATTTTCATATGTTTAGTAACATTTCATCTATTGTCGTACAAAAACGACCTGTGTTCACCACGAAAACCCAAAGCCGAAGGCACTCTGCCCTCAGCGTCGGCTCGGTCAACACCTTAAGCTTCCACAGCTTCTAGCCTAGAATAAACTAGAAAAACTCTGCTGACATTTTACTCAACCATCAGTCGTAACCATTACAGGGGGTAAGGAGGGGTTAGTAGGGGAGGGGAGGGGGGAGGGGAAGGGTTAGTAGGGGAGGGGAGGGGGCTGGCTGAGAGAGAGGGAGTGGGGGGGAGGGAAGGAGAGAGTCCGTTGAGGGGGAGGGCAGTTGATGGGAGGGGGGGAAGGAGGGAGTCAACTGGAGAGAGAGGGGGAGGGGGGGTTAATGGGGGAGGGGAGGGGGGGGGTCGATAAGGGGGGGGGGGGGGGGATCGTTGGGGGTCAACTGGTGATGTCAACGACGGATGTAGGTCACCCTCGATTCTTGGAGTGTCTAGGATGTTTGGCCATGGGAGGAGGGGGGCAGGGAGAGGGAGAGGGAGGGGGTGGGGGAGGGGGAGGGGGAGAGGAAGAGAGCGACAGAGAGAGAGAGAGAGGTGGGGGGGGGGGGAGAAAGAGAGCGTCAGATAAATAGATAGAGAGAGAGAGAAAAAGAGAGAAAGAGAGAGAGAGAGAAAGAAGGAGAAAGAAAGAGAGAGGAAGAGAGAGAGAGAGAGAGAGAGAGAGAGAGAGAGAGAGAGAGAGAGAGAGAGAGAGAGAGAGAGAGAGAGAGAGAGAGAGAGAGAGAGAGAGGAAGGTAGAGGGAGGGGGAGGGGGGAGGGAGGGAAGGAAGGAGGAAAGGAAGGAGAGGGAGGGAGGGAGGGAGGGAGGGAGGGATGGAGGGAGTATGGGAGGGGGGGAGGAAAGGAGGGAGGATGAGATGAGAGAGAGAGAGAGAGAGAGAGAGAGAGAGAGAGAGAGAGAGAGAGAGAGAGAGAGAGAGAGAGAGAGAGAGAGAGAGAGAGAGAGAGAGAGAAAGAAAGAAAGAAAGAGAGAAAGAGAGAAAGAGAGAAAGATAGAATGACAGACAGTGAGAGACGGAGAGAAAAAAAAGAAAGAGAAAAGGAGAGAAAGCGAGAGAAGAAAAAAGAAAGAAACAGAAAATCAAGTAAAAAGAGAGAGAGAAAAAAAACACATCCAGATAGGAAATCAATACACTCCTACATCACATTACATATTTTTTTCCCCTTTTTCCAAAAATGACGTCACCCTCTCTTCCTCACAACGAACCGACAATGAACCGAAAATTAAAGACAAAAAAAAAGAAAAAAAAAATCCTCCAGGCGCCCTGACTGAAGGAAGGGCGTCCCTCCAGATCCGAAGATAATACTCATGAGGTCAGCGCTGAGTCAAGGGTCAGGCGAATGAGGAAGATGAGTCACCGAATTGCGGATCGTATGCAAATTAGCTCCCTTGCATCCCCCCCCCACACACACACACGTACACACTTCGGCGGAGATCCAAGAGAGAAAATCCAAGAGAATTCAAGAAAATTCAAGAGAATTCAAGAAAATTCAAGAAAATTCAAGAAAATTCATGATCCAAGAGAGAAAATTAACCGAACTCCAGATCGTATGCAAATTAGCTCCCTCACCCCCCCACCCCCCCACTTCGGGTTCCATTCGGCGCAGATCACGATCGCGAAAGCACAAAGGGGAAAATGAATAGAAATTAATGAGAGAAATCGGGTGTGAAAGGAGGAGTTTAATAAGGAAAAGTTAGAGAAAGATAATGAAAGACTGGAATGATATAATAATGATAATAATGATAATAATAATAATAATAATAATAATAATAATAATAATAATAATAATAATAATAAAGAAAAAAATCGCTGAAAAAGGGAATAACAACGAATAAAAGAAATAACAAACCAAAGACACCCAAAAAAACCTCGAATTTCAAAAAAAGGAAAGAATAAATAACATTAAAAAATAATAAAACATAAAAATATTCACACGAGGGCGGAAGGTGGCATCCGTGACACTGACCTTCCGGGAATCAACGAATTTATAACCCAAAATGGCGCCCGGTCTGACATCCGCTCCTCGCTCTTTGTGACGTGGCAAAGTCATGTGATCTATGGGTGTACCTTTTTTCTTTTTTTTATCCTCTCCTCTCAGTCGAATTTCATAATATCTATTGGAAATCTAGGGTTAAAATAGGTTATGATTTAAATATGTTTTCTAGTTTGGTCCCCGCGGTTTCTGTAATGGGATTCGGTGATTGGTCGAGATATGTGTCACGTGATCGCTTCCAATGAGCCAATCAGAACTCGAGATATATGTGACGTAATCACAGCATCGAACCAATCAGAAGGTCCGTTTGACAGTCGCCGGTGTTGTGGTTTGTCGGCTTGACATTTCAGTCAAATTAACCTTTCTGTCAAGTCCGTATACAGAGAAAGGGAGGTAAATTAATAAAATCTGATAAAGGGAGGAAGGGAGGGAGGAAGGGAGGGAGGAAGGGAGGGAGGGAGGGAGGGAGGGAGGGAGGGAGGGAGGGAGGGAGGGAGGGAGGGAGAGAGAGAGAGAGAGAGAGAGAGAGAAAGAGAGAGAGAGAGAGAGAGAGAAAGAGAGAGAGAGAGAGAGAGAGAGAGAGAGAGAGAGAGAGAGAGAGAGAGAGAGAGAGAGAGAGAGAAAGAGAGAGAGAGAGAGAGAGAGAGTAAAAGAAAAATAAAGAAAAAAAATACGACCTCAAAACGATTTTTTATTTTATTTTTTCATTTACTCTTTTTTTTTCAAATTACGTAAATGCAACGACAGAGCAGACATGACCATCGACGGGAAAATGACGTCATTAGCGAGGGAGTCAGGACGCAACGACCTGTCAAGCCATCTGTCAATTCCTGTCAAATTGGCATAAAGGAGAAGTGAGTAGAGATTGGATGAGGGAGAAGAGACGCAAAAAGGAAAAGAAGGAGACAGAGAAGAGAGAAGAGATAGATCAGGAGGAGGAGGAGGAGGAGGAAGAGGAAGAAAAAGAAAAAGAGGAAGAAGATGAAAAATAAAGAAAAGTAATATAAAAAGAAGAAGAAAAAGAAGGAAAAGAAGAGGAAAATGAGGAAGAAGAGGAGGAGGAAAAAGAGGAAAAAAGGAAAGTCCAAGGAGAAAGGAGAAGAGAGCGACATGAAGAAAGGAGTGGATAAGAAAAAACAAGAGTAAAAAAGGTCACAGAGAAAGGGAGAGAGAAGAACACAGAACACAGAAGACCAATTACACGGATAACACAAAAACGCAATAACAATAATAACACAAAAAAAAATATTCAAGTGGCTTAGCTTGTAGGCCTAATTACTGTAATAATATTAGATCGCTGAATAATAAATTAATATTATTTCCATTGAGAATAAAGAGGGAAAGAGACATACAAAAACAGTCAAAAACAACAACAACAACAAAGGAAAATATTATTCCCAATAATAACAACAAATAATAATAATAGTATAGCCTAGAAACAATCACAATAAGAATAAACAAAATAATCAAATGTAAATAAAAAAGATAAACAGAAATAAACAACCCGATAAACAACAATAAACAACCCGACAGAGGAACAAA